GAACCAGCTGATATTAACTTGCACTGACAAGGGGCAGGCTTGCTTTCTAATTACTGAGAGAGTTCAGCTGGTCACTTGGGTTGGTACCAACATCTGGTGAAAATTTCATGTCATTAGCACCTCTAGTAATATATTTACTGAGAAAAATGGTGACGTGTTCAATACTTATTTTAGACTTTATTTTTTATACAGACAAAGAAACGTATTTCTATTTTCAAAAAGACTGATCTAGCTTCCATCATGTTCAGATGGCCTCGTGCTGCCAGGACATCTCTGACAGGTTGGCTTTTAGGCTCAAGAGAATCGTGGTTTCCTTTCATATTGAGCTCATGCATTAGTTATTAATTCTTTAAGTCCTGAAAGTTGATTGTGGACCTTCATGTTCTTTAGATGTAATTTTTTGTTATTTATGCACACAAATGGGCGACTGTGTTGAGCTGTGAAACACAAACATTAGTTTGACCTGTGTTTTTCTGTTTACGTTCAGGTAGAAAAAGCGTCCCACAGTGAAAACCTGCGGGACCTGAACCTGGCGGTGTCGGCGTGTGCTCAGAGAAAGACGAGTCTCTCCTGTGACGACCTGGGCTCAGACCTGAGAGACACTGCTCCTGTTAAACGAGACTCAGGAGGACAGGTAAAGCAAAAGAGAAACAGGGCTGAGGTCTCTGTAGCCTTCAGCGCTTCGTTTGGACCACATCTGCTCCCTGTTCGCTGTCAGCAAGATGAACTGGACGATGGTGAGGTCAGCACTTCTTCCACAGCTCAGGAGGGCGCTGTTTGTTCAGAGAGACCTGTGGGAACCGAGTCCACCAGGCCCCAGCAGGGACAACAYGCATGTGACTGTGCTGCACAGGATCCTGGGCCTTCAGAGAAAAATAAAGCACCAGGACTCGCATCATTAACCACAAATGACCTGTTAGACTGTCTGGTGCATCCTGACATCATCAGTCGTGTCACTGAGCTTCTTTTGGAAAGACACCAAGACCTTTCATCTTCAGCTGCCAAAGACTCTGAGGGGACTGCTCTTAACTAGGCTGTGGGAGGAAAAACGAAGAAACAAGAATCTGTCTGTAAAACTTAATGACTTCCATCTTGTTCTTTAATCATGTTAAGGTCCCTCCAACAGGAGGCTCAGATGTGAGCTTTCACCAGGCAGCGCTGATGGTTCCAGCTTTTGTTCTGCCCAACATCTTAATCCTGTTTGGTTCTTCCAGGAGAAGAAAAATCACCGCTTCAATCAAGTTAGTATGCTAATAAAATAAATAATTCAAAAGAATATTTGAGCGACGCTCACATTTGTTTCCTGAGTGGTGCTTTATTTGTCATTTAGTGATGAAAATAGGCACAGATGTGATCTGATCCAAACGCTTTGATGAATAATGAAATTTGCAACGTGTCCTGCATCAGGTCACAGCTTTACAAAGGGATATACGTGGAAAGGAAATTCAATTTATGTTTTCTTGTTCACATTGTTTTTCTATGCCCACCCACGCCCCCTTTCCCTTCACGATATATTGTAAAAGGAAATTACAAATTAAAAAGGATTCATTTGCAGACTTTATTTACATTTAAAACAAACAGGTTTTAGTATCACAGTTAATATATTTTTACAGCAGCTTATAGGGAGCAATAGAATCTTATTTTTCCTGAATAAAAACCATAAAATAYGGTCAGAAGTACCCGATAAATCAGTTTTTTTCTGTGTCTGAGTGCAATATGAACAAAATTACACATTTGCTTCCCAAAACCTTTATTTTTACAGCACATGCATTATTTGCATTAACATAAGAAGCTTATGTTGGTAGGAAATTAAAAAATGATTCAAGTGTTCCCATGGAGACCCCACTGTGGGCTGTGAAACAAAGTCGGCTTGAGACACTTCCCAGAAATCACAAGTTAAAAATAACTGTAGAAAAAGCTGTTTTTTCCTGTATTTTTTAAAATAAAAATAAAATGTGGTTCCAATGAATGAAATGTAAATGTCACCAACGTTTAAAAATTTGTTTTTTAATAAGACAAATGCATCACCTTGGATTCTGTTACAGAAACATCATGTAAACTTCATTTCTCAGGTATATTTAAAGTGATCCCTGATTAGTTGTAACGTTAAACTTTATTTGATAAACATTTATTTTAACTGTAAAATAA